CTTTTCCCCTCCCTTCTTCCAAGAAGTATTCAAGGCGAGATGTCTCACTTCATCCTTTAAATAAATCAAAGTGAGGCTGAGGTTTGAGAAGGTTCTTTTGAAAATCACAGAGCGAGGTGTAGGAGATCCAGTTAGCCTAGAATTTGAGAGAGATGAGGCTCCGAAAGGGTAAATGACCCGCCTGAAGTCAGCAGCCAGGAAGTGGAAGGATTGGTGCCCAGTGCCAGGTCTAACGTAGAGCCAGGGCACCAACTTGGCGTGTTGGTCACCTGTACTGACCCAGTTGACAGCTGGGTATTGGCCTGAGAGCCACTCCAGGGCACCAACCCGTTCAGGATATATACTCAGAGGGGTCTGGTCCAGTAGTCAGATCCAGTAGACAGCTGGAGCTGGGGTACTGGGGATACTGACACCATATTCTGGTCATCTATACTGATTCTGTCTATAGTTGGGGGTACCAGCTCAGGGTACAGTCAAGGGTATAGGTCCAATTTACATTCAGAGTTTCCTGCATAGTATCCAAACCCAACCCACTGCCTTGGCATCCAATCAATTCCAACTGCTAGAGACCCTGGAGGGCAGGGCAGGCCCCAAGGAGTCCCGAGACTACGTCTTTCTAGAAGTAGGCTGTGGAGGGAGCAGCTGAGGGGATAGATCCACCTGCCTTTAGAGGAGTGGTCCAAGGCTTCTCCGTGAACCAGCAGGGCTCCTGACTCCCCCAGTAGCTGATGGGAAGAGTGAAATCGCAAGTGGCAGAGCTGGGATCAGTTGTGTGTGAGTCTAGCCCTGCTGGTCTTCTTCGCTCTGCAGCCAGGGAACTCAAAATCCTTTCCAGCCCAGGTGGCCATAGTTAGACCAGTACTTCCGCCGCTGGGGAGTGCAGGACGATGGGTTTCTGCCCTGGGCTGTAAAGAACAGGGTACCGTGTGACCAAGAAGGAGCCAGTGGGGCCAAAGCAAGGGGCCTGGGACCCTCTTGGAGCAGAGGATCCTAAAACGAAGTCACTCCCACTGAGCGCCATCTGGTAGACCTAGCTCAGTCCATAGACACCTGTTTCCTCTGCGAAGACTCCTGAGTCAACCCTTACTACCCTACAGAGGCCGGTTTGTTTTTCAACACCCAGGGTGCCGTGTGACCAAGAAGGAACCAGTGGGGCCAAAGCAAGGGGGGTGGGACCCTCTTGGAACAGAGGATCCTAAAACGAAGTCACTCCCACTGAGCGCCATCTGGTAGACCTAGCTCAGTCCATAGACACCTGTTTCCTCTGCGAAGACTCCTGAGCCAACCCTTACTACCCTACAGAGGCCGGTTTGTTTTTCAACACCCGACAAAAGTGCTCTACGTTCACACAACTGGTTCTGCGTTTTCTCAGAGAGAGCCTTCCTGGTGTGCCAGTCTGCCTCCCGGCGTTCAGCACCATCGTTTGGGGTGAGTCCTTACCTGGCTCTTGCCTTGTCGAGGGCTGGGAGGAGAAAAGGAAAAGCACACACCTGCCTTCCACACCCATCTCGGGGTGGGGGGTGCCCGCAGGGGAATGAGGCTGCTGTGGGGTCCAGCGCTCAGCCAGGGTGTGCCAGCCAAGGGCAAGGCCGATAACTCCACTCTTCTCTCTTTCCCTGGGCTGGGCTGGCTGTGGCCACAGAGATTCGGAGATGGGGAAGTGTGTCCCTGGAGGGGAGCCCCATTCCCATTTGAAGCTTTTCCAAGAAGAATTTCCTGGGTAGCCACGTCACGCCTTCGTCATGTTTCAAGTTTCCGCGACTGATTTGACACACACTCCATCACCTTTTCATAGGTGTCCACAGACCCCACTAACAGGACTGTGGAGAAACAAGAGGTTACTATGAAAGAAGAGTCCCTGGGTGGTACGCGGGGTTGACACTCGACTGCTAACCCCAAGGTTGGCACCTCGGAAGAAAGGCCTGGTGATCTCTTTCTGGAAGACCATCACCGGCACAAAGGCCCTACTGAGCAGTGAGTTCCATGCTGCCCGGGGTCACCAGAAGCGGGGATCGACCTGATGGCCTGAGGTTTCCCTTTTGTTGGTCCATCTGCAAGGGCAACGAGCAGGAGCGTGACCCCGTTTGGACAGCAGTGAGCAGATGGACAGATGGGTGGAAACTGGTTGAGTGGCAGGACCGAGCTAAGAGTGTGGCCGGAAGACAAGGGTGCAGGTCCCACCTCTGCAAGGGATTCTCAGGATGACCTTGGGCCAGCCCCTTCCCCACCTACAGTCATAAGAGAAGGTAGTGGCGGCCCGGTTCTTCTGGCGCCTGGGGCAGTGTCCAGGTGTGGTTTTTAAAGATCTCTCCTGACAGGTCTAGGGACATACACTTTGATCCAAGTCTGAGACGAGGCGGGAAGCTGTGTGCGTTTTTGAAACACTCTCCCAGGAGACTTCATACGGCTCTGTTGCCGTGGGCCCAGGAAGGGGCTCTTTCCACCCTGCTATTCCAGGGTCACCCCACAGCTGTGGTCAGAAGAGTCATTGGAACTGGGGCTTGCATCACCCAAGACCTTGGTGAGCTTCTCTGGCGACTCCCTGTCATCTCCTCCCTCTGCCCCCCACCCCTCATTTAAGCTTCTTGTCTCTTAGCCGGCCAGTGTCTGCTGCCACCGAGCCCACTTGACCTCCTGTGTTGGAGTAGAATGTGCTCTGTAGGGCTTTCAGTGGCTGACTCTCCTCCACTTGAATGCCAGGCCTTTCTTCTGTGGTACTTCTGGGTGGACTCCACCCTCGGCTCTTTCTGTTAGCAACTGAGCATGTTAACTGTACAACCTAGGACTCCCCCTCTGAGTCTAGGCGGCTCTTCATATCACTGTGAAGCCATCAGGTTGGGGCACAGCAGACCCCTAAGTAGTTCCATTAATATAACAAGAGGAAACCTCTACTGGCATATCCCCATGCACACGGCCAGGACCCTTAGTGTTCTGCCCTTTGGTCCTCTAAAATCCCTGCTCTTCCCACCTGGAAACATACATTCCTCTACCCTACTGAATCCTTCCGGAGCCAACAGAAAACCTTTCCCTATAGTGGGTGCTCCATCGCATTATCCCCAAACTCTTCACCCATTCTAGGGCCAACCCTAAGTTTCCAACCTATCCATGGGTCTGGGTGAGCCCCCGAGCGGGTTCTTTCCCATTTGGGGGGGTGTGAAACCAAGAACCTAGGCTACCTGCTTCCAAAGTACAGTGGTGGAGTAGAGGCACACGCGAGCCATCCCCGCTTCACAGGGGAGACGTTGATGGGAAAGGGGGGGTCATGATACCAAGTGAATCCAAACAGAGAAGAGCAAGGTCACCAGCTGCCCCTTAAGGGAACAGTCCTCTCTTCTTGGGGGCCACCTGGGCAATGGCGTCACCCTCCTGACTCTGGCCCTTGGCCATGCTCTCTGGGTTCTGCGCAGAGTCCCCACAGTCCTGGGTGTCATGCCCATCTTCTAGGTCCACAGTTGGCAACCCTGCTTCCTTGGCTGGGTGGCCCCATTCTCCTGGTCCCCCTGAGTGGTGACACCAGATCCTCAACTCCAAGGACCCCCATGCTCTTAGTCTGGTTCTAGCCTCCTGCCCATGGGCATGGCCATTCTATTCCTTCAACGTGGGCAATGGCCCCATTCTCCTGGCCCACCTGAATGGTGGCCCCAGGGACCCCCCTTCCCTTATTCTAGTTCTAGTCTCCTGCCCTTGGGCTTGGCCTTCACCTCTGGATGAACAATGGCCCCATTCTCCCGGTCCACCTGAATGGCAGCCTCGCCCTCCCTAACACTCTCTGGGGCTCTCTAGGGTTGGAGCAGGATTTCAGCACGTATCCTATCGTTAGTTGCCACTCGTCTTCCATCTCACACCCAGCTTGACCACAGGACACAGAGCAAAGCCAGCTCCTCATGCCTCCTTGTCTCGATCCAAGCCCCTTCTCCTACTTAGGATGCCCCCTCCCCCTTCAGCACTCGGCGGGGGTGGAGGTAGAGTGGGGGCGGGGAGGTGATACCAAGCTCACTGCCACGGAACGGATTCCACTTTAGAGCGGCCCTTCAGAACAAAGGAGACTCGGTCTTTATGGAGGCAGAGCAGGCGGCCTCATCTTTCTCCCTTGGAGCGACTGGTGGGTTTGAACCGCTGACCTTGTGGTAAGCAGGCCCACTGGTAATGGATCCACGAGGGCTCCTTCAGCATCCAGGAGACTCAGCGTAGAGGACATTTCCCAGGGATGCCCTGGCTGGTGCCACTGGCACCTCCCAGTCTTCTGTGTCCCTCCATGTGGCTGCCCGACAGCTGTACATATGGTGAGAGGGGCCTTCACCTGTCAGTCTGTGAGTCTAATGGGAGTTGTTTGAGGTCTGTGTTCCTTGGGGCTAGCCCAGGATTGAGGAATGAGTAAGCCCTTGGAAAGTGTTGAGTGATTGGAGTAAAATAAAAAGCAACACACTGCAGGGACTTGACATACAGGACAATCCAAGTTAGCTCGTAGGGCTGGTTGCGATTTCTTCAGCCATCTGTGGTGATTTCCACTGTGGATCCCCAGTAGCTGAGCGGGAGGGGTGAATCTCAAAATCAAGTGTGACTCAGTGCTGGTCTGGAGCGGGTCCACGCCACCCTGTCCTCGGGAGAGCGGCGCTGTCCCAGCAGGGCAGGACCCGGGCTGTGAGCAGCCTCAGCGAAGCAGCCACTTCCTCTCACCTTTCTCCACGGCCCACTCAGCTGGATGGCTCCCACTCACGCTCTCAAGATCCTTATCGGCTCCTGCAAGGGAAGTTTCCCCACACCTTGCACACCACCCAGGGCAGTTGGCAAAGGAGGTTTCCATTTGGTCACTGGAGGCCTGTAACCACCCGTTTTCCTTGGGACGCCCCCACCTCTTCACCCTGGCCTTGGAAACCCCACCCACCACCTTCCCCACTGTCTGATAAAAGCTCCAGGCAGGGCAGGATGGGCAGGGGAGAACTCTTGCTTCCACTCCACTCCCGAGACTGCTCCAGGGAGGCCTGCACTCACGCCCGGAGATGACCCCCACCACCGTGGTCCTGGTGTGTCTGCTGCTCGCTGGGATGTGGACCAGAGATGGGGACAGCAAGAGCAGTAAGTGTGGCTGCAGTCACAGCTCTTCCCCTGGGGGAGGGCAGAAACCAAGGTTGGGGACAGGGTCACCCTGATGGTGGTGATTCTGCCCCCCCCCTACTTTAGGATGGATTGTACTAGAACTGGGGGAATTTGGATGGGTGGGGTCAGGTCTGGGGCAAACACAGAGGCATCACATGAGAAAGGCCTGGCAACCCGACTCCCCCCAAAACCGATGGGGCCAAGAACTATTCTGTAACACATAAGCCTGCTATGGCTTGATGACATTGGGTTTGTGTTTTGGTTTTGGTGGGGGGCTAATCCAGACCCCGCAAACTGATGGGATGAAGAGGGTTAGGATGATGGGGTCACTGAAGCCAAGCTTAGAGGCCTGAGGCCCAGAGAAACAGGGCAGGGGCATGCAGGGTCTGGAGCCAGACCCTGGGGCTCTAACAGGCAGGCGAGTCACTTCCCTCCACAAAGCCCTGGCTTCTCCATCAGAGTCGATGGTGCCCGCCTTCCAATGTTCTTACGGGAACATCCACCTGACCACAGACACAAGCAGGCTTTGCAGATTGAGGGAGATCAGGGTTGGAATGTGTTGCGCCATGGGAGAGGAGGGTACAGCCTGGCAGAGGTGGGCCTGGGGGGACAGGAAAGAGCTAGAGATCAGGAGATCCTAGAGGACCAGGCTGGACGGCTGGTTTGCTCCTGGGGCCCTTCCTTTGTTATGTTGTCCCTTTGAAGTCCTGAGCTAGTTCCCAATCCAGCCCCAGATCCATGGACTTCCAGGTGCTTCCTGCCCCAGACTCACTGTGCCCCTGGGGCGGGGTCCAGAATGCCGGGGCAGAACCGCACACGCCGTGGTGGGATCCCAGAATGGGAAAACCTGCTAAACTAAGCAAAAAAGTCCCATTTCACAGATGGGTAATCTGAGGCCCAGAGGGAGGGCACCTCTCCTAACGGCTAAACCAGGTGGCTGATGAGTCAGCCCCAGGGCCCTCTGGGTATGGCCCCAAAGCGCGAGCCTGCAGTGGTCCCAAGGGTGAGAGGAACTGGGTCCGGCTGGGGAATGGACCCAGACGGTGATTTGTGCTTCCCTTGCAGTTCACCTGTCGTCTTCCAACTGCTGCTTCCACTTTGTGAACAGGGCGATCCCCTGGAGGAGCATCCAGTGCTACAGAAAGACCAGCTCCACCTGTGCCTACAAGAACGCCCTCATGTGAGTCCCGCTGCCCAGGCCCCGCCTGCCTGTCTGTCTGTCTCCCGGCCTTCTGCAGTTCGAATACTGGACGCTAGATGGAGGTGCTTCACCAGAGAAAAGATTGCAGGTCCCGCCTCAAACCCGGTGCTGAGCCCAGCTTGGGCGCTAGGGGGAGAGTCGGGACAAGAGTCAGGACGCCTGCCATTCCTGGAGGCTTCGAGGAGCAGCAAGGCACCAAGCAGCACCCCAAGCAGCGATGCCCTCAGGAAGGCCGTTCTTAACAAAAGCATGCAGCCCTATTGCCTAGGCCCGTTCCCTGGTTCCCCAGCCTCTGGGCTGGGTGGCCTTAGACAGGTCACACCTCTGCACCTCAGGAGCCCTGGTCTGTGAAGTGTATTTGGAGGGCACAGAGTCACTGTGAATGTGCCACTGAGGTCCTGGGCAGACACTACTCAGGGCCTCCATGGGCAAAGCAATCATGCATGGAGGATCCCAGCAGCATCAGACATTGGGGTGGCACTGGGGAGGGGGAGGAGTGGGGCCTTGGAGATGTTTGAGGACAAGACTTTTCCACCCCGGCTGATTTCCAAAACTAGCCCTGATGCCTCACCGGGCACACAGAAAGGGGCTTAAAATGGAGCTTGTCCAGGGCTTTAGCTCCTCTGCCCTGTGGGCAAGCCACAGCCCCGAGGCAAGGGCTTTTTGATGAGGGACAGACCCAGGGCAAAAAGGCAGGGGGCATGTCGGGAAAAGCGTGGGGACTGGATTTATGTGTGGCGCCCAGCAGGTGAGTCCAATATCTTCTTTGTTCTCTGATCATAGATTGAAGCTGAAGAGGGGCCAAGAAAACTGTGTCCTGAAGACGGCTAGATGGGTCCAGCACCATTTAAATAGGACGAAACCCTGCCTGCCCAAGGGGGAATGAGCAGATGCCACCCCATCCTGGGTGCGGTGGCGACGCCTTTGCTTCTTGGATCCCCACAGCTAGCAACCCCGCAGCATCCTTCTGTCCTGCCTTTGCTGGGTCACAGATCAACGGACAGATGTGACTATCTGAACCCTCAGCCTTTCCTTACCTGTGCCTTTTGGACGTTAGCAGGATGCAAACTTATAGATACTGAGGGGCTGGGGGCTGGGGCTGGAGGGAGGGGGAGGAGGAGGAGAAGGACGGGAAGGAGGAGGAAGAGGAGGAGGAGGAGGAGGTGTTGGACCTGATGTAAGGGAAACGGACTCTTGTCAATCAAAGCCAATAAATGACACGCCGTTTCTTAATGGAGAGTCTCTGTTCTGGGGCTGGGGTTGGGATGAGCGTTGACTTGGGGCTGCATCATGATGGTTAGCTCCATCCAGTGTAATTCTACTCCTGTTTCACGCTGGCAACAACCATGAGCCCAGTGCTCCCTCCTCAGACCCTGGCCACCAGGGCTAGGTCAGATCTCACAGAGCAAAGGGTGCTGCCCTCCAGATTGGCAAGTCTGCCCGAGCTTGGGGGTCTCCAAGCCTGGGAAGTTGCTAGAACAATTGACAGAAGTCAGGAGAGGGACGTACGTATGAGTGTTTTTAGGATCTCAGAGAGGATATAAACGAAGAGTGGTGGTTTGGGGTGGTCCTCTGAGGGGTCCCTACGTATACAAGCATCTAATCAACCAGGAATCCCGGAATTTCTGGGTTCAAACCCTTTCTTGGGGCCTCATAACGTAGGTAGGATTGATCAATCAGCCCTAACTGGTCTTCCGACTTCCCTGAGGTCAGCTGACCTCAGAGGGTCTTTCTAGCTTGGCCAGGCCCCACCTGTGTCACCTCATTAGCATCACCTGTAGTCAGGTGTGGTCTGGAACCCTTACAGACGACGGAGACCTCAGTCCCAGGGAGAGCATCAACGTCCTAGAGGCTAGCTCTCTGGCCCCAAGTCCTACCCCCCACTCCCCACCGGTTGTAACTAGCGGTGCAGCACTAAGCCCAGCCCAGGCTGGGTACACACATGGATACAGGATGGATACAGGATGCCTTCTCAGAGGGTCCTGGGAGTGGGGGTATGATGCTATCCAAAAGTCACAGCTTCTTTAGCTGCCTCTAAGCTTGAGCTGACCCCCAGATGGGGTGACAGGGCTGGTGAGAGACACCAGCAGACCTGAGGTGGCACCGTTAGACTTGGTGTGAGAGCCAGGCTCCAATTTCCCAGGCGGCGGGGGAGCTTCTGGTGTCCCAGTTTGCCAAGTGAACTCCAAGAGCACCCCTTTCCAGTTGGCAGAATAGGCCCTTTGGGGCTGGTCAGCAGGGCCCTGCTCTCCTGGAAGGGCCTTGTCCTGTGTCAGATATATGTGTGCGGGAGGGTGGGTGGGTCGGTACTATAGCCTGGTGGTTGGAGGGGAGGTGGCCTCATGTCCCATTATCTCGGGTCTGCTCCTTCCTAGCCCCACATTCAAACTGTTGCACATCTGGCCCAACATGCTTCCTCAGACTGCCTCCTCCCTTCCACCCCTGAGCTGCCAGCTTCTTCGGGTCACCATCGCCTCTTGCCCAGTCCCTTGTCTCCCGGGCCAGCTTCATCCTGCCCACAACCACCAGGTCCCCCTTCCAAGCACTTCCCACCCCGAAGACTGTCTGCCTCCTTCCTTCAGAACCAAGCCCACCCTCCCCTCCCCAGTACTCCCGCTCCTCCACCTTCCTCTCTAGACGGTTCCCGTCATGTTCCATCCTGGCATCTAAACTCTTGATCACGGGGAGATGTCCCCCCACCCCTTCCCCATGTCCCATCCCTGTCACCCCCAACCTCTCTGCGAAACCTGGTTCCGACCATGCTAACCCATCCTCAGTTCCCCTCTGGGGCCTGGTGCCCAGGATGTCTGTGCCACTCCAGGGTGCAGGGCTGCGGGGAGGGAGACCAGGAGCTTGCAGACTGGCCAGACCCGATGGGCAGAGGGGAGATTTCCAAGCAAAGACAGGGCAGTGGACCTGGTGCCAAATGGGACCACAGAGTCGCACGGCGGCGAGACCCCCTGTCGATGATGCAGCCATGGGTCAGGAATCATGGGGGCTGGTGGGCCAGGTCCTCGCTGGCACTCAGAAGTAGCCCCTCAGAAACCCAACGTAGGGTCACTATGAATCAGAATCGCCTCGAAGACAGAGGCGTGCGTTTGGTGGTTATGCACAGCCTCCCACCTCTGCAGCCCTGGAGCAGCCCTCCGGGTCTTGGATCCCACCCACCAAGCCCCGAAGAGATCACCCCGCCTGATGCTGTAAACAGGCCGGGTTTTCAGTGATGAGGTAGTCATGGTAGGACTGCCATCGGAGTTTCAGAATCGTGTATTTAACAAACCGTGCCTTACGATCGCACGGCACTCCCTTGGCTCAGCGGTTAACAGCACTTGGCTGCTCACCGAAAGGTCTGCAGTTTGATCCCACCCTGGGCTCGGCAGAGAGCGCTCTACAATCTGCTTGTGAGTTTCGGTTTACTTGGCTAGGGCACTTCCCTCTAATTGCACAACTTGCCCTCTCCCTAATTCCCACAGGACTTAAGCCCTTTTCAAGGCAAGGGGCCAGGAGTCATAAATAAGGACCAGTTCATGGCAGGCCTTGCTAAAAACAACTTTTTGAAGGCATGATTTGTAGTAGATTTCAAAGCAGCAGCAGTTATCTGCCACGGTTGAACATGTTGTGATGGTTGACATCACAAAACAGAACGCTTCGAGCACAACCATCCTATCTGAAATGACAGGGTGGCGATTCTGGAGCCCTCCCTCCGGGGGAGAGGGGTTGGGCTGCTAACGGCCAAGGTCAGCAGTTCAAAACCGCCAGCTGGAACATGGGAGAAAGTTGAGGGTTCTCTATTGCTGTGAAAATTTACACTCTTACAAACCCAGAGAGTCAGTTCTGCTCTGTCGCTAGGAGTTGGAGCTGATTGGATAACAGTGAGAGGATGTGGGGGAGATGGCTGGAGGGGAATATATAGTCATTGCTGGGGCTCCGGCTGGGTTGTGGTGTGAGCCAGGGAGGTCACTTGGTCAGGAAGTGAGATTTTCGGTCCAGATCAGTCACGTCAACCCCCATTGCGGCACAGGTCACCTTGGTTCTGAAATTGGTGGAAGAAGGAGGGTCGGCACTGTCACCCACAAGGTGGCCTCTTGAGTCCCAAGCCTGCCTGTGTGGCTTGCAGCAAGGGGTGGGCTGCCCTGGTACAGGATGGAGGAGGCAACAGCATCTTGGTGCTGAAGGTGGACTGGTACCCTCTCAGGAAGCAACGTTGGGGCGGAGGCTCCTTGCCCTCCTCTGGAACTATCAGCATCGGTTAGGGAGCTTGCTGTCACAATGGATGTTCTATGAAAGGCTGGCTGTTTGACCTCACCCAGAGACTCCATAGAAGCCTGCTGGCACAGTGGTTACACATTGAGCCACTAGCCACGTGGTCAACAGTTAGAAACCACCAGCTGCTTCATGGGAGAAAAAGGAGGCTTTCTCTTCCCATAAAGAGCTACAGTCTTGGAACCCCCCAGGGGCAGTTCCACCCCACCCTATGGGTTCACTGTGAGGCAGAATTGACTCACTGGTCGTGAGTTTGGTTTCGGGGGCATGCTGACGTCATGGGAGAATAAGGTGCGATCTTCTCCTATAAAATCACTGCTGAGAATGGCTTCGGGGCCGGTCTGCTCTGTTCCACGGGCCATCCCAATGGACTTGATGGTGCCTAACACCACCAATCATGGGGCGAGTGGACTGCATCGTCTGCTTAGATCTTATCCTCGGAGCGGACATTTTCCCCCAACCAAGAGCATCCTCTCCTCCTCCTGATGACGCTGCATGAGCCAGAGTGGACCTGTGCTCCACGGGGTTTCAATAGCTGGCCTTGCAGACGCTGGCCACCAAGGCACCTCTGGGTGGATTCAGACAGCCAGTCTTGCAGGTGGTAGCCATGGCCTGAACTGTCGCACCACCCAGGGACCTTGTAAGATCCCTCCGTTGCAAAGTCTACCAGGGAAGGGCTTTGCATTGGGGGGGTGGGGGGTGGAGTGGAATGTCCTGGTGAGGGGATTGGGGCTGACTGGCGTTTTCTACTCCCATCCCTGCATTCTGGGGATCCTGGTGGTTGGTGGGGCTGGGTAGCTGGTCAGCGTCTGCACGGGGACCTTCTTCGTGTAGGGTGGCCTGTTGTGCGTGGTGGCTGTGGGACCGAGTGCATCTATAACGGAAGCTGGGGGGACAGCACGTTTTCGGAGGCGCTGTGCTTCTCTGCGGCAGAACCCAGCAGGCTGGTGTCAGGAGGGGAAGGCAAAGCAAAGCAAAGAGGAAGACAGAGGGGCAGACCCTACCCTGTCTGAAGTCCGGGCACCTGCCAGAGAGCCTGGGGCAGGGAGGGGGGAGTTGGTTGTCTTGGTTCCTCACCTGCACAGTGGGGACACATCATGGCTGCCCAGGGTGGGCATGGGCATGATCAATCAGAGAGGCCCCCACATAGTTAGGGCTGAGGAGGTCAGTGTCAAAGGAAAGGCCCTGGGTCTGGATTTGGCCACTTGGATGACCTCTGGCCCCATGATGGCTGGGATGGAGGTTACAGGCTGCCCAGCCCCTGCCTGGCTGACTGTCTCGTAGAAAACCCAGACCAAACCCGCTTCCTTGCAGTGCATCCTGACACACAGCCACCCCCCATAGGACAGAAGAGAACTGCCCTGTAGGACTTTCGACGGGGGAAAGAGAGGCGCTCGACTCCCGTGAACAATGACCTCTCAGAAACCCTCCGGGTCTGTTCTACCCTGCCCCATGGGTCGCTGTGTGCCAGCCTTGACCCGATGGCAGTGAGTGTGGGTTTTGTTGTGCCAGAGTCACCAGCCCCTGAGAAAATGTACGGCGATACTAGATAAAGATTATAGTAACGAGAGAAGATAAAATAAAGGAATCAGACGCATTTCATGGTAGCATGCTCATTCCGGG